AGGAGGGGGGGGGGTGCATGTCGGGGGCTACCCCCCAAAGTATAAAAAAAACGAATTTCATTTTTTTTCGTTCAGGGGTTGGGGGACTGATGGGGGTTCAGGAAAAAAAAAGAAAAGAAAAAAATTGATTGATTGATTGTTGATTGATTGATTGATTAATTGGCGATTGTTTGATTGATTAATTGATTGATTAATTGATTGATTGATGGATTGATTGATTGGTTGATTGGTTGGTTGGGGGAGGGTGCCCCCCCCCCCCTTAAACACACACACGCACACACACACACACACGCACACACATACGGACACACACACACAGAGGCATACATGCACACATGCACACACGCACACACATACACACACACACACACACTGTGACACTCTCTCTCTCTCTCTCTCTCTCTCTCTCTCTCTCTCTCTCTCTCTCTCTCTCTCTCTCTTGGAGAGAGAGACAAAGAGACAGAGAGAGGGCGTGCCTATGTGCAATTTTTTTATTTTTATTTATGTGCAAATTTTTTATTTTTATTTTTGAATCAATCAATCAATCAATCAATCAATCAATCAATCATTCAATCAAGCATTCAATCAATCAACAATCAATCAATCAATCAATCAATCAATCAATCAATCAATCAATCAATTGACAATCAGTCAATCAATCAATTAATCAATCAATCAATCAATTGACAATCAATCAATCAATCAATCAATCAATCAATTAACCAACCAACCAATCAATCAATCAATTTTATTTCTTTATTTTGTTTTTGTTTTTTTTCCATATTGATGATTTTTATTTTTTTTAAATATAAAAAAAAACAAAAATAAAATAGAATATATGGGGTTCTAGAGCACGAAAAGCTCTACATCCCCATTTTTTTATTTTATTTTTCTGCAGTTTTCGGAAGGGGGTTTCGTCATTTTGTATGGGACTGTTTCTACGGCCGTACGTGTGGAGCCCCATACTTCGTACGGCGTGTTTCACAGGTGGCATTCGTTTCCTTTTTTGCTTGCCGCGAGGTCCATAGGATGAAATCTCTCTTTATTTATTTATTTCCTTTTTTAATTTTTTTAAACTAAGGTATACTCTTTGGTGAAGTAATCCATGCCATGCTTCCAAGAAAAGCTCGAAAGAGTAGTCAGTACTATGCCTATCTTCTTTACTATTTTCCTGTTTTTTACTTTAGCCAATATTAGTCTGCCAGGCACTAGTAGCTTTATTGGTGAGTTTTTGATTTTAGTAGGCGCTTTTCAAATAAGCCTATACACTGTAGAATAGACCCCTGAAAGAATACCTACCTCCATACCTACCTCACACGAAGAAGGGGATGCATGTTGCCCCCCTCGGTCATGGATGGTGGTCATGGAGCAGGGCGGGTGGGAGGGACATTTGGTAGAAAGCACCCATGGGAAAACCTTTTCGGTTTTGGGTGCCCGAAGTTCTGACTTTTGGTACTACCGGCCCAAACTTCTTTCGCCTAAGTGAAAGGAGCCTTCACGCTGTGGCCACAGCCTCCTTGGCCTTTTTTTACTTGACAATGAATCTGGCCCTGTTTTTGTGCCAGATTCGTGAGCCAGTAGGGCCATTCTTTTTCAAAATACCTTACCGTACTTGGTCCTCGTTCTAACCTTTAGGGGGTACCACCCTCTGCCTCATCTACATCAGAAGCATCTGGCACTGTTTATGCACCAGATTCATGATCCGGTAGGGCCTTTGGAGCCACGTGTGGGCTGGTAGTTCCCCAGATGGAAAAGTTGGGCATGTAGTACCAAATGGCACAACTTTTGGCACCCAAAACCAATTTGAAAAGGGTTTTTGCGTCGCGCTGTCCACCAATTATCGTGGGGGAGGCAGTTAAGACAAAGACCGAGCTGTTTGAGGTAAGTGCTGTAGTGAGCTGTAGTGAGCTGTAGGGAGCTGTGGCGACCCGTAGTGAGAAGGAATGCTAATGCCAGATGTTCTGTCTGACAAATAAGACTCAGCTTTGTTCTCATTTATGTTCTCATGGGACGCTGGACCCGATTTCCAGCTGCTGGCAGCAGGTGAAGCCCCCCACCAATAGATGGAGCGGCTGCCAGGGAAAAAAAAAACAAAAAACAAAAAAACAGAGAAGGGAAAGACCGAGCATTTTGCCAGTAGCTGTCAGTAGCTGTCCCTCACTGCCTCCCATCTACTTCCCTCTCGGGCCTCTCCCCCATCACGTAACAACAGTGTCAATTGCCAGCACTCTCCCAAGGACCACCAACAACCCACACAGTGGCACACATACACATGGTTGGATCATTTTGCAGCTCTCCCCCCTGAAGATATTTGGCTTGCCCATAAGGGGGGAGGACTCGGAAGCCAAATATCTCAGATGCTTGGAGTCGTGGAGCCAAGAGTGCCGCAGGTGGTCGGTGGGGATTGAGCCCAGCCTAACCAACTGAGCTAGGGGGCTTTCTCACAGACTGCCCGTTCAGCTCAATGAAAACTCCGTTTTTCAATGATGATGATTATTATTATTATTGTTCTTGGGGAATGGTTGTATTAACTTGTATAAATATATATTTTTCTCTCAATCTTTTACTGGCTTAGTAGCTTACTCACATCCTGCCCATTCAACTCAAGTGGAGATATATAGCTGACTTGTCCTCATGGGGGGGACAGCTGTATATATATATTTTTCTCCATTTTGTCCTGGCTTCTGCCATGTCATGGAACATATCTTTTCCATCTTTCACTACCTACCTACCTACCCTTACCCCTAACTTCCTAAGGCTATACAGGCGAATGGCTGTTTTTTTCTTGGGAAAAAAAAGTTGAGAAATCTATGATCAAAGTACAATGACTATAATTTAAACCACCAGTACGTTTCCGGGTTTCCACTCTCGGAAAACAATACCTTGGTGGAGGTCGCAGACCTCAACCAACCCCCAATCGCCGGAAGACAGGAAAACAAAAAAAAAAGTAATTAAAAAAAAATCAACATGAAAGAAAAACAAATAAACCAAAGAAGACGTCCCCTCGCGCGCGCGCGCGAGAGAGAGAGCTGCAAAATGGGAATGAATCTTTCTTTTCAGAAGGAAGATATGTGCGCGCACACACACACACACACACACACAGAGAGAGAGAGAGAGAGAGAGAGAGAGAGAGAGAGAGAGA